GCTGTCCAGATTAACCGGAGGATTTTACTATGGAGAAATTCCGTTCCTGGCCCACTGTCCACATTAAGCGGTTGTCCACATTAACCGGACTCCACTGTATTTGAAAATTTCGGATAATAAATTGAAGTTATTCGGGGAGATTGGGTCACCAGTACACCTCAATGAGTTCCGTCGCCAAAGAAATGCAGTACAAAATCCATTCATCTGGCAATTAAAAACTATGAATCTAGAATTCTCTAACAGACTGAAGACAAGCGCAAAATTATATTCCGCTATATTCATAGTAGATTGAAAAACAAGGACCCGGCCGCAGTACTTAAGGGTGATAATGGCGTGGAAGTCATTGAGGATCGTGGGAAATCCGAATGCTGCAACCGGTTCTTTGCCTCGGTATTCACTAGGGAAACCAAGATTTAGTCTGTTAACGTCAACAATGCTGTTGTAGACGCTGGTCCAGCGCTTCAATCTCAATTATTCCCAAAAGTTGTAGTGAAAAGGGAGCTACAAAGTCTCAAAGAAGCAAAGTCATCCGGTCCAGACAATATACCGACCAAGTTCTTGAATGAATTGGCAAGCGAGCTCTCAAAGCCCCTAGCACATATCTTTCATCCTTTATTTGAATTAGGAAGCCTGCCATCTGATTAGAAAACAGCAAATATATACCCGATATACAAAGGCGGCGCCGAACGAGGGTAAATAATTATCGGCCTGCCAGCCTAACTTGCATTTGGTGATGGAAACGATAATTATGAAGGCGACAATGCAGTTCCTGGAGGAGAACGACTTACTTTCAGGGCTCCAACACGGCTTCAGACAAACCCACTCTCGTCTTTGCCGCCTAGTGCTCTCGACCGAGCAGTGGACTCGTGCACTGCACGAAAATGGTAGAATTGACGTCACCTATACGGATTTCAAGAAGGCGTTTTACAGCGTCCCACATGAACGTCTGATGTGTAAATTATCGGAAATAAGAATAAGAGGAAGGCTGCTGCCATGGATCGAAGATTTTCTCACAGAGTGATCGCAAACTGTGTGCATTGGTGGCTCGAAGTTAACCCCCAAATGTGTTCTACGTGGCGTCCCCCAAGGCTTTGTCTTATGGCCACTGCTCTTACTAATCTATATCAACGACTGTGTCGACAACCTGAGTTGCAGCGCCATCATGTTTGCTGACGACGTCAAACTCTCGAGAGCCATTAGGTCTGACGCCGACAGGCAAGCGCTTTAAGAGAGTCAAAATCACCTTAGCAGCTGGTTTGTTCATTAGCACTTAAATGTAAACTTGAGTAAGAGTGTGGTTTCAATAATAATAATAATAATAACAAGGTTTATTTGTAAGCACATCTTCGGAGCCGTCAAAACCCAGGCTCCGTACTAAAAAGACCAATGAGGAGGATGATCCCTTTCAATACGTCCTCCATGGGCCACCCCTTTCAAATGTTGGCGAACAGAAAGACCTCAGTGTTTTAATAAACTCCTCGCTTTGACCATCTTAACAGTGTCTAAAAGCAGCTAATCGCGCGACACAGGTGCTGTTTGCGATTAGAAGGGGGTTTGTCCACATTGACAAGGAACTCTTCAGAAAAACATACGAAGCGTTTGTTCGGTCCCACTTGGAGTATACCGCCAAGGCCTGGCGTCCGTGATTTAAAAAGGATTATCTGCAGCTGGAACGAGTGTAGGCGAGGTCTAAGAAGATGGTCAAGAACCTTGGTCATCTGCCTTATGATAACAGATTGACTGAACTTGATTTATCTCCTCTCAATTACAGGCAACTCAGCGGTGACCTCATCCAAACCTACCGAATTGTCAGAGGCCGTGATTGTGCCCTAGAATTTGATGAATTCTTCGAATTGGCTCGGATGGATCATCTACGGGGTCATCAATTTAAACTGCAGAGGAAACCGGCCCATATAGACTTTCGACGGGACGTTTTCTCGCAGAGTGTCGTCGGAGCGTGGAACGGACTCCCTGACAAGGCGATCCTCTCAAATACTGATGACACTTAAACGCAAACTTGATGCTCATTTTCTGAGAAACTGCGGCAGATATAACAAACATAGTTTCAGTAGCAGCAGTTTGCACCTGGCTCACATCTGTCGCTGATGTTAAGCCTACATGTGTATTATTTAGTATTTTTAAGGTTGAAATATTTGCAATTTTTCGATATGAATAGGGAGGGCAAGGGCAGAATTCTTCTTCCCTTGGTTAAGTGACTTAGAACGGAATTCTAACAACGCCCAATTAAACCCTAGAAAACCTCGAGCAGAACTCTCTGAACAGTCAAAACAAATCACTAGGCCAGAGTTCATACTTTCTAATAATATCCCTTATGGAAGTGGATTGTATACGTCGTTCTAACTTCATTACTATTCAGGATACCCTAAAAGACGGGAAATCCCCGTATAAGAAAACAAAAGCTTCAAATATCTTTTCAAAGCGACTTAAATCTATAAAGGATAACGAAGTAATCCCTAGGCTCATTCATGCACACAAGCAATATGCGCAAGGAATTGAGGAAAAGAATGACCCAGCTACTAAAATAGAAATGAAAAGACTATAGCCGCCGTCAGCCGTGTATTTGCATCCCCGAACAAATGACCCACATCTGTCAGAAGCCAATGAACAAACAAGGAATATCGGCACATCAAATTCTGCTTGCTAATTCAGGACTATTATAAAAATGAGAAACAAATATTGAATTTATTCAGCAATTATTTTTCCGATTACTATACAGTCCAATGGTAATTAATTCCACCATCACTCGAACCAGTAGTACGCAGTCTTAAAGAGACCTAGTTAGGTGAAGGAACTGTTAAAACGCCATCATAAAAGTATAAAATTTACCTTTAACGGGACAAGTATAATCCTCAGTGCATCCTCAGCTAAATGATATGTGCTCTAACACCTTATCGTCTATTACTAGGCAAGCTGTCCATTGTAAACTCCTGCGGTGCCGATGAGAGTCCCAACAACTTTGTGCATCGCTTGCGACAGTTCTTGTGTTCATTTCCTCCGGTTCCTCCTCGATCTTCGCTGACTGAATCTTAGGTCAAAAAGACTTGGCAACCGCACCCATGTGTTTATTCGATTTGACTGAGTGCACAAAGGAGCGTTCCGCGTTCTCTCACGCAATGTCAAGATCTGCCGGATTTTGCGAGGTGCTAAGGAAGACGTGGTCAGTGTCGATCGGGCCAAGGATGCTGTCGCCGAGGAGCCGCCGGACCAACCTTATGGACAAAACTGTGCTGACGCCCTACCCCGCGTTCTTCCATCTCCCTTGCCCCCATACTCCACATTCCTTACCCGTTCCTGTCCCACTTACCTCCACCACTTCTAAGGACACGGTGAATATTTGCGTTCACAAAATCAACGCGGATCTGCTTATGTTCTCGCGCTGGAGCCCAAGTCGTTGGAGGAAATACGCTCTATCCAAGTGTAGTTTCGTGTATTTTGGCACCGCCAAGCTTCCTGGACCTCCAGTCGTTCAAAATAACCCCTTTTTGGACAATCCATCATAAAGGATTTAGGTGTACGTTACACGTACAAGAAAGCGCTAACCCCTCACGCAGATCGAAATTCCGCATAGGCTACACGCATATGTGGTTTTATATGGCATCCTCTATTCCTTACAGAAGTTTAAAGTTCACCACATGTTTGTTTATCCAATC